AATTGTTTTCAAATACACCAAATAAAATTAAAAAAAAAATATCACCAGTCAGATCTGTCAACTATGTGGATGAGATTTAGTTTTGCTAATTTAAGCATACTGGAATAGGATAAAATTAAAGAATTAAAACTGTTATAAATTTTATATTAATGGTACTTGTATTATTAGCTGTAATCATCATCGTCATCATTATATCATCCTTGAACTATCCACTGCTAAACATAAGCCTCCCACAGTAATTGTCATGCTTGGCAAACGGATTAGCAACCGCAATTAGGCTTTGGAGATGTTTTAAAAGGGATGCTGCTGCCCATCCCTCGCCTCCACTTAGTCGCCTCTAACAACACTCACGGGAAAAGAAGGTATGGCCGTTTCTATGCCGGGACCACACAGCATTAACTGTAATATAAAATGGATATTCGAATTGAGTCGCGCAGTAAAGATTCTTAAACTTTTAGCGTAAAGTAAAGCCTAAAAAGAATATAAGGTATATACGAAATAATTCCATAAATCAATGAATATACATACATAGATCATGTACACACATTCATTGGTATTTATTTTACCAATGGAATAATGTACCGAAAAAAGAAAATAAATGGACCTCTATGGAGTTATAATGGAATATTATATTATTATAAGCATGAGTCACGTTACCACATAATAGGCCAACATCAAGGGTAATAAATAGGCAAGGTAAAATACAAATATATATATATGTATATATATATATATATATATATATATATATATAAAGATAGCATAATAATTTCTTATGGCATTTAATAATCTTAAATATACTCATGAATGTAATCTCTAATGGTATAGGCAGAGATATTTATCGATTATTATCGTCATGGTAAATGTATCATTTGGCATGCTCATCTTTCGTCTAGTCTATTAGAGTTATACGTAGCTACTAGCTTGAGGTAAGAATACTGGCATGGCATGATCTTGTCATATTGAAATATACTATTGATACCCTATTGATCCTCTTTATTGTAACCTAAAAAGATTATAATAGTAAATTTATTATAAATACAGACAATTACAAGAAAAGATTACACCAAGAAAACTATGCGTGGTCTTGTCGCTAAGAGCGATCTATTGCAAGCAACTATTGGATGGAGAAGAGTAATTAAAAATAGTTTGACTGCAGGCACGAACTCTGTTAATTTTTCTTTAGGTCACCCTTCATCTCTTTAAATAAAGTCCACTTAATAATCAAAGAATTTTGTTTCATGTATTATATTAGTTATATTTTTCCGCCTATCTTTACTGTGAAGAACCCCGTAAAGAGGATCAGTGAGGGCTTCTCAAAAAGAAGAATAAGTATCTTGTTAATTTTAATCGACCGGATTTAAGGCGAAATCTTTCTCATTCTTCCTTAAACAACGTTTCCTATTAATAGCCGCTGTGGATTATTTTATTCATCAGATTTCTCGGGTATTTATAGATTAAAGAAAAGGTTATGAGAGTAATTTCCGTCTTTTGAATGATTTGCCGAATATCCACTTTGAACTGAACCGAATATCCGACATTACTATAATTTCTTGTGTAATTTATGTAGAAGACAAAATCTGTTCTGATAAAACTTGAGGAACGATAAATCTGTCCCTATGCTTTCTGTGCTGATAGTAGAATTACCTAATTAGTTAATTTGCCTGTATTATTTTTTTGGTGTTACATATACAAAAAGCGGTACATTTTGGCCAATTTTGAATTATTAAAAGAAGGATGTTCGTAATACGGTTGTATTATGTTTGTTACCTCATAACTTCGTCAGTTGTAAACTGATATTGATATATATATATATATATATATATATATATATATATTTATCTGAAAGGATATACCTATAGATTGGTCCCAAAGAAATGTTAACAAAATAGGTTTATTACTTTAGTTTTTAAATCAGAATAACTGGTTTTGCCACAGATGAAGTCGAGTTTTTTTGTGGAAAAGTTTTTTATTGTTACTACGTACTGTGTGTGTATTTTTTTCTATATAAATTATCATTATATTACATTCACATAAATATCTAAATAATTATTAAATATTATTTCTTATTACTTCTCAATAGTTACTACATCTTATTCATTTTGTTAGAGGCTAATTATTTGAACCAATTAGTATAGGAATATCAAAGGAATATCTTATCGTAAATAATACGTATATATTACTAATAAGCCCAATTTACTCGACAGAAGTGAATATGATCTACCTAGTAGAATTCCCAAGGAGAAATCCTATTTATGTTATACTTAATTCTATTATAATCCTATTTACAAGTCTACATATTTGTACTAGAAACATTGGAAAACTCAACGAATTATTAAGTATGTAATATTTCAGGTTTAATTAAGAGGTAAATAGAATATTTTTCTACATTGAATTCATTTGTTAAAGAAAATATAAGGATTTTACTTCACTTTGTTTCAATTAATTTTATAGGTACATCGACAATATTACGTATAATTGGTTAGAATACAACATTTAATATAAACATGATAGTATATTCACACCAGTTAATGTACACAGCATAGGATATTGAAATGAGTATTGCAATCAAAAGTTGTCTTCCGTTTGAAGGACCTATCCTTAACACCTTAAACTCTTAACATCTTAGTTCTCAGAATTGGCAACGAATGAAGGATATCATGAGGAATACAGTGTACCGTGTTATGTCCATAGGATTTTACAAGGTACAATTTAGAAAACTATTTATTCTAAATTAAAAACCAAGCTACTAAACTAATTTAAAAATTTTATGGGGCCTATCATGGACGTATATCCTTTCAGATCAAAATAATAATTTTCTTTTTTTTATGCAACTTAAAATGGAAAATAAGCTCACCTGATGGAAAGTGGTAACCGTCGCCTATAAATATGAGCAGTACCATGGACGTAACAGAGTATACTGTATCGCCCATAATAACACCTATGCGTTGCCATTCCTGAGGACTCAAGTATTATTCCTCTGTACCCTATAAATTCACTGTCATGTCCCACCCTCCAAACCAAAATACAAGCATGTGAACACAACTGCTTCACGGTAGAAACACGAATAGGACAAAGTTGTCCAACCAAACGACTTTTGTATAAAGTCTCCCTTTGGTGATCGAAATCGATTTATAAATCGATTTATGAATGATGGAATCCTTAGGTAACGAACAAAAATGAAAATACAGCCGAATTAGCCCCCTAGCTCTTTTTGCTCGCGCCCATATAGAGTAGTACTTCTTAAGGACGTATTAAATGTGCAACCCTACCTACATTTCGCTGAACATAATGGTAGTTTGTAGGTATATAATAAACACACAATAAATTATTAGTTTGCACAGTATGGGTATTCTTTGGCAAATTCAATTTTGCGCTTACAATTACAATCGTAAATCAGGACCCTCTTAACTTTAACTTAACGTAAGCCAACGATTTCTGTTGAATTGTTTTATTAGAACTAAGTTATGCCATAAATAAATTAAACTTCTGACTTAATTATTGCTCTTGAAAGCAGAATTTTATGTATATGTTAGCTACTTGCCCCGGCTTCGCACGGGTGTTTTTAGTTCAATTTTCCAAAGGTCTACCTTCATACAAACCTTAACCTGACAATTACAAACCTGATGAAAAAGGAATTCTCCAAACCACCAATTTACCAAAGGGAGACTTTGTACAGATGTCGTTTGCCCTGGCACCTCTGTCCCATTCGTGTTTCTACCATGAAGCAGTTGTATTTATATGGTTGTGTTTCAATTTGTAGGGTCGGATATGGCAGTGAATTTACAGGGTACAGAGGAATAACACTTGAGTACTCAGGTATGGCATCCCACTGGGGGGGAGGGTATCGTGGACAAAACAGTAATGTAGTAATTTGACTCTCTTTTCCGTGCTTAGCCTCTCATTTGGGGCCGTTATGAAACAGTATACTCTGCTATGTCTATGGTACTGCTTATGTCTATAGGCGATGATTGCCATTTTCCATCAGGTGTACCGTCAGCTTGTTTGCCATGTCCACTGCTTAACCTCCCCATCAAACCAAAGCTTATCTACTGTTGCTAACCCGCCTGCCAAACATAATAACTACTGGAAAAATCCCTCTTGCTAGTAGTTGCTATGCTTGGCAGGCGGGTTAACAACAGCAGATAAGCTTTGGTGTGAATGTGAGAAAAACTCTGTATTCCGCGCTTAGCCTCTCATTTGGGCCGTTGTGCGTGTGAGTTGTGGCTAGTACAGCCAACCTAGCTCCGCCCAGAAGCGCAGAAGCTTCCTGGGTTCTTCACAGGCCTCACGGAGCGACCTCACCGTTCCGAGGATTTCTAAACGTTGATGGGCCACAGCCTCACATTACAGGATTACGTGAGCAGCCGTTTCTTCAGCGTCGAAACAGCCTCGACATAGAGGGCTGTCTGTGGCTCCTATTGTGTATAAATGTTTGTTTAATGGACAATGACCCGTTATTGTCCCTATCATTATTTTGAGGATTTTTCCTTTGGTGTTTCAAGTTTATTATTTGTCTCTTACGACATCAACGGTAAAGGAAGTGGTTTAGCTTTTTTTCATATTCTATTACTTTTTTATAGTAAATTTTTGTATTTGTTAAAAGATACTCCGAAGTATTTATCCAAGTATTGACTGAAAAAAAAAATTACAGTTCCGCATGGTAAATTTTGAATACGTTATGTTAATCGCATTATTTTCATTTCCTTTCCAACTCTGCTAAATTTATTGCATGCTCGCTACTGGAATTTTCGGCTTATTTCTTTCCATATTGCATAATCCCTAGCATGTTATTACACTCGTGACAAACGTGCATGATGTTAGTCAATCACGCACGGGGTTTTTGATCACCATGTAATTTTAAAGACTACATTTAAATAAACACACATTAATAGAGATTTAATGACCATGGCTTTTAATGACATATAATTTTACACATTGTACATTTAAATAAATACACATAATGTCAACAGAGATTTAAAAGAGTAACTGTTGAATTTCTTGCGGGATATTCTCAACAGATAACAACTTTCTGGACCTGAAAAAAATGACGATTTAAAAGTGAATTTTGAATAAAGATGATTTAGATTAGAATTTAAAAGAGTAACGGTTAAGCTTCTTGCGGATTCTTCTCTGCAGATAAGATTACTCTGAACTCTGCAGTAGATTCATAAAAAGGAACGATTTAAAAAGAGCTTGTAAACAAGATTGATTGAGGGAGAGAGACTTCGTACAAAAGTCGTTTGCTTGGGCACCTCTGTCCCATTCGTGTTTCCACCATGACGCAGTTGTGTTTGCATGGCTTTTTTTCAGTTTGAACGATGGGATATGGTAGTGAATTTACAGAGTACCTACAAAGGAATAATATCTGACTCCTGAGCAATGGCAACACATGGGGAGTATCATGGGCGAAACAGTATACACTGTTATGTTCATGGTACTTCTCATGTCTATAGGCGCCCACTACGGTTACCACTTCCCATCAGGTGGGCCGCCAGCTTGTTCGCCATTCTAAGTTGAATAAAAAAAAATAGAATAACAATAATTTTAATTCGAATTCGTGAAGATGATTGGAATGAATTTTCTCTTATCTACTATTGACTCTATATCTACTAGTGACTAAACTACATAAAAGTAGGGGAAAATGCGGAAAACACAAACAGTGAATAATTAATTCCGAACGCGATAACTTTAATATGTTAGAAAGAAATTAAAATTTTTCATTTACCTTCATTTTAAAAACTGCTACATCTAGTGATAAATGGCAAGTTATAAATATCTGATGCACATTGAAATCTCGATATGAATATTTAAATTTTTTGGGTGTTTTAGATGTAACGATGTGATGTGATGATGATTTGAAAAGTAAATCGATTTGGTTTTATTTCTATAAACAGTATAATTGTAAAGTTTACAGACTGAAACATCTATTAACTAAAGGTTCTGTTTACAGTAAGTAACACTAATAATAATTAACAGAAGTTCTACAACGTTCCATATTAGCCAGTAATCGCCGACCGCTATACAGTCAACGCATATTTTGTAACACGTATTTCACCTTGAAATAAAGCATTTTCATGCAAATTAATAGATCGCTACTTGGAGCATAGTGTGTCCGCACCGTAGCGGAATTTCCGCTACGGTTATCCAATAGCCACAAGTAGATGTCAAAGAGCGTAGTGACAACAGCTATCGGTCCAATTATATTGTCACTACATATATTAGGTACAATATGTATCACTCCTTTTTACTTGTTATATATTTTAATATATAACAAGTAAAATGAGCTAGGAACTAATAAACTAAACTAACTAAACTAAATACCAATGTGGTGTTTATATAAAATATTATAACAGTCATTATTGTTTTATATCGCTTGCCTATACTTATATTACAGAGAGGGAAGATTTTAGTTTTTTTTTGTAATATATAATCTCAAAAACTATTCAACAAATTTTAAAAATTATTTTACCTACTTAGAAGCTTACATTATCAGTGAATACTTTCTTTCGAAAAGTCTATCTACTCGTGTGAAGTCAGGACGGATGCTTGGGCACCTCTGTCCCATTCGTGTTTCTACTGTGAAGCAGTTGTGTTTGCATGGTTGTGTTTCAGTTTGAAAGGTGGGATATGGCGTGAATTTACAGGGTACAGAGGAATAACACCTGAGTCCTCAGGAATGGCAACGCATGAGGGGTATCATGGGCGAAACAGTATGTGTGTATACTGTTATATCCATGGTACTGCTCATGTCTATAGGCGACAGTTACCACTTTCCATCAGGTGAGCCGTCAGTTTGTTTGCCATTCTAAGTCGTATAACCCTTTCTAATTCGAATGACCATTAAAATATTAAATTGTGTTTAGTTTTTGTTCTAAGACTGCAGGATACTTCATCGTGTATAAAAATAATAAATTCATCTACCAGCTGGCAGTCGCTAACGGCTTTTTTGTTTAAGTTGTTGCTTCTATTTATCAACTTGACTGAGAGCTTGCAAGTTTGTCTCGAGTTAGCAAACTGCATTAGTGTTTAATAGCTTTTCTTGTAGTTAATGCGGTATTACGATCTCGTACTGAAGTTATAATAAGTATATAATACACATTTCAATCGACTTTAAACGATTCCAAAAACGAAATAAGTGTATGATTTGTGTGCATTTTTTTTATAATTTGTAAAAACGTAAAATATTTTTGTTATTGATTTTTTTTTTAATTAATAGGTTTACTTCCTTATTTTTATTAAAATGTGTTTAGTTTTGTAAAAAGTATCTTAAATTATTTTCATAAGCTGAAGTACATTATAAAACTTTACCTTTCACATAAGTATTGCAGATAATCTTGACAATTCTAATGATGCATTTACTCGCACTTGCTTTGCATAAAGAAAACCTTCTCAAATGTATACATTTTATGAAATTATCGGAACAAACCACTGCAGTTCTTGTATAACCTATATATATATATATATATATATATATATATATATATATATATATATATATATATATATATGAAATATATAGAAACTACTTAGGTTGTTATATAGTATTTATATATTGACATACCATAAGAATCCTTTCAAAACATATCCGTATTATCTCATTTTCTTAACATAACACATATTATGAATCGTATCTTAGGAACCTTTCTTGTAGTTTACTGAAATCATTGTCCACTATTGAACATACACCTCTTGCATAGATACCGCCTATACTAACTAACTTTTTACTACCATGCCACGCGAGGTAGACTTTGGAAAAAAACCGTCTTTACTTTTATTTCACTCATGTTTTTGTCATGAAACAGCTATGTTTGCATGCTGGGTTTCGGTTTGAAGACTGGGGCAATAAAATTAAAGAATACAGAAGTATAACATAGTAATTCTCAGGAATGACAACGCATAAGGAGTACTTTTTCTTCTTAGCCTTTTTCCATATCTATTTGGGATCAGCATATGTTTTATTCTTCCATTTATCACTATTTACAGTGGTCTCACTAGTCACTCCCTTCCTGTTCATATCATCTTTCACATAGTCCGTCTATCTCTTTTTGGGTCTTCCTCTGCACTTAAACCATCCACATACATACGTAATACCTTTCTTATTACATTCTCTTCTTCTCTACGCATCACATATCCATACCATGACAAACAACGCATGAGAAGTGCCATGGGCATACATTACTAGTGTATTCTCAATATCCAAGGCACTAATTATGTTTATAGGTGACAATTATCATTTTTTATCAGGTGGACTGTCGACTTGTTTGCAATTCTATGTATCATAAAAAAATACTAAAGCAATGGAGGAACAGAGGTCAATTTATTTAGGTATCTATCATTGTGAGGTTACTGCCTATAGTTACCATGCTTGATAAGCGAGTTGGTGACCGCAGTATGGCATATAATGTTTCAAGGGGATACCGCTATTCGTCCCTGGACTATTTATGTTCCCTTAGTCGCCTTTACGACACTCGCGTGTAGACATATACCTATTTTGTGCCGAGATCACGCTGGCTACAATACTCAAATAATATCTTCACACTACACACATTAGTTATATTTATACCTAATAAAAAAACGAGTACTGCTTATTATATATATATATATATATATATATATATATATATATATATATATATATATATATATATATATATATATATATATGTATATGTATATTATTGTAACCTACATTTGGATCAAGAGCATGTCATTCCAAGTTGATTAAGGTCGAAGGTTGCGTTGTAATTTAGCCGTTGTTTTGACAAAGTCCCTATCGTGTTTGCAATACATTACCTCGTCATAATCATCTTTCGGTAATTCTGGTTGATGTTTGTATTTTGTTGAAATAAACCATTTTTATATGGGCCATAAGGTTTCTTTTTAATATGTATATTGCGTTCTCGAAATTTCGCGGTATTTGATATATAATTATCACATATACATAAAATGAAGAGAAAATCTCGTACCTTTTCGTCATTTTTAATTATGTACACACGTAATTTTGTATTTGAGGAGAAGCTACAAAACGTCACTTCCACTCGGCGTCCTATTCTGACATTATCATGTTTGCTCGTTTTAAATTCTTACAACTGGGTCTGTAATTTTGTTTTAATTACGTTTCCCTTTATTTTTTAACTACGAGTAGTAACAACTGCATTCGCATTTCCATGGTATTGATTTATCATAATTATCATCAATATCATCATATAAACTATTAGCTGTCCACTGCTAAACATAGACTGCCATAAGGATCTGTTCTGGTCTATGTATTGATTAACCAAGAAAACTAGTATTCTATTCGTTCATCATGCCTCCCACCAAATTGTTTATAATTACTCCTCTCCATCCCAAGGTTGCCTGAAAGAGATCGCTCTTAGCGATAAGATCGCCCATTGTTTTCTCATTGTGATTATTTCTTGTAATTATTTATATTTATAATAAGTTTACTATCGTAATCTTTTGGAGGAAACAATAAAGAGTATCTATCTATCTATGTTCTTATCTATTCTAAATACTACGTGTAAGGGGGAAGGGATTCTAGTAACGCGGTTGTTCCTGAAAACCATCATGGTTAATTCTTATTGAGATCATCTGGATGGACTAACTGACCTGCTTTTTCATTTTCAACCAGTCAGCGTATACCGTTAGCGTAGGCGGGATTGCCTATCCATTATCATCTATAAAAAAAATACTACATGTATTGTTTGTGACAGTTGATGTGAAAATAGGAAAACAAGTAGTGGACAGTAATAGTATATCATGGAATGTAAAGATAAAGAATGATTCAATAAACAATAGAAATAAAGGGACATTTTAGAATAAAATAATAAAATTTTATTAATAAAAGAAATACACGTTGTAGACAATATATCTTCCATGATAATAGGTTAAGTCGTTAAAGCAGCTAGAATATATGACAATGGTCTGAGGTTACAAGTCAAGCCACTAATAGGTTCTCACAAATAGAATCCTAATATCCAATTCGGCCTTTGAAGGCGCTTCCAGTTTGTTCAGTAATATCTCTACTGTGATTATTAAGTATTTTATTTATGCCTATATGCACTTACGTAGTCGATATAATATTTAATTCCATCATATACACATCACAAGCATAATTTGACAGAATTTGAAACAGGCAGAATTAAGCTAAAGAAAATTTCGTATTTGAAATTAATTCTACATTTAATACACAAAAAAAATTAAAATAATTATAATCATAGCGATCAACATTATCGTTCATCTAGAATTTAAATTCCGAACACTCACATTCTACAATACTTATCTAAATGCTCGTTGCTTGCCGTTTCATTCCACGTAAGTTGTAAAGCGAGGCAACAAAGGACTGAGATAACTATGCGGATGGACTGCATCGGATTACTTCCTTCCTGGATGAAGTAGAGGAACGTGACGACGTGTCTGATACTTTGTTTACCTACACTTGACTTTATTTCCTTTACACGTCTGAGAATGTTAGTATAATATGAAATAATTTATACAATAAATTTTCGTCATTTATTCCTTATTGCCTACATAATATGTAATTCTATATAAATAAAAATCAATCGTAGAAAATATGTAAGCGCAACACTTTATATCGGCTGCACGGATTTGGTTAAATATTTTTTGTTGTATTTGTAATTGACAGAACAAGTTTTGTATAAGAGGAAATATTTAAAAAATCGCACGGAATAAATTTGATAAATTTGAGTTAAAAAAGGAATTTCATTAATACGTGCGAAATCGTGACAAGTAGCTAGTTTATAATAGGTACTAAATTTGACGAAAAAAATTGTAATAATAAGACAAGGAAAAGTTTGCACAAAAAGTATTAAAAAGGGCTATTAATATTCAAAATATTATACTTATACAGCATAGCATGCATAGCACGATAAATCGTCGATCAATTTTGTATCTTTCTTAAGTAAAACACACAAATAATATATGCAAAAAAAGCGGACTCTTTTTCTTTTTTCTCCAAAATAATTCACATAAACCTCTTTATTTCATAATATTCTGACATTCTAGTTACTTTATCATAAAGAAAAAAGAAATATCTGTTATTTTTTATGAATAATTACCTAATTATGTGCAAAGTCATATATTAAAATGCATACCATTTTCTTCCTTACTTATCACTTCGCATTTATCATCTATTTTATTGCTTATTTTGTAAATAGCAAGAAAATAAAATAAGAAAATATTTATAACATAAATATTTATATATAATATGATATTATTAACTGAGATTATCTCTAAATATACTTTCTGGTTGTTACACGAAAATAATTTTATTTCTTGCACAAACTTAAGATGGATTTATCAAACTCACACGGTTATTTATTACAATGAAGATTGAATGCAACCCTCATCTCACTTTTAACCTCAAAAAATGTTGTATCCACTAATATTGCAAATGTGAAAGTTTATAAAGATATTCATAAGTTTAAAGGTTTGGGTGTTTGCTACTCAATCACGCCTAAACGGTTGGACAGGTTTGGATGGAATTTGGTATACTGATGGACTACGCAGGTAACTGTTTATTATAAGTTTATTTACATATACAAAGTTGTATATTACAGCTAGTAAATAAATATACACCAATAAAGATTATTAAATTGAGACTGATCACCAAAGTATACAGAGTTATGGGTACTTAATGACTAATAGATTTAAAATATATATACATACTATAACATTATAGAAAACACCGAAATTAATACAAATAAATATACGTATTAATACAAATATGTATATTTTGTGAGTATCGAACCAGAAACTATTGGTAGATGAGGCAAATACCACCAACCAAAGTCGAATCATTTACAGAATCTAGATACTCTTGGCGTTTTGCGACGTTTCTTCACTTACCCGCACATTATCATCATTATTGTCTAGATTTTTTATATGCGACTTAGAATAGCAAACAAGCTGACGGCCCGCCTGATGGAAAGTGGTATATATATATATATATATATATATATATATATATATATATATATATATATATATATATATATATATATATATATATATATATATATATATATGTAGTTCTCTACACACTGTACTCACGGTATTCATACTACATTTAAACAAATTATCGCATGACTTAAGTGTACCAATCACTAACTTTCGTGTTACATACACTGCTACCGCTAGGGGGAGGCTTACGTTCAGCAGTGAATAGTTAAAGACATCACATAACATGACGATGAAGATGTCGCGTTAACTCCCGATTGTCAATTTAAATATCTAGGCTATTATTGTATTGATATATTGTTACATATGTTAATATTTCTAATGATTAAATTTAATACGGTTTAACTCTCTCTCTTTTTTATGCAATTTAGAATGGCAAACAAGCTGGCAACCCACCAGATGGAAAGTGGAAACTGATAGAAACTTTATTAGACATTCAATTGTATAAAAGAAAAAATAAAATAAAATAAATGTTCTGTATTAAAATATATGTGACATGTACTAATAAATGGTGGTTAATATTGGTACAACGATAGTAGCTAGAGTTCGTGATAAGTTCTTTAGATTCTGAGGACTTTGGTGAAGTTATGAATGCATTGCGTATTTTCAATAGACGTCAACAAGAAGAAGGTTCACAATTCTATTGTATTTCTTTTTATTTGTTACCTCATAGCTACATCAATTGAAAGGCTATATCTATAGATTGATCCAGTATTCAGTAGTTTAGTTTTAAATTTAAAAAAAAAATGTTTTATTCTTAATTTATCTGCATTATACTACATTATTTATTTTACATGTGAATCACAAAATAGATACGATTAATGGTACCAATGTTTTTTCAGTGACTGCAGTATTTGTATAGATTATTTTGCTCACGATATAATTGGAAATAGAAAATGCAAGAAGGTTATTTACCTTAATATTATTAGTTTTATTAACTAACCAGAGGGAGACTGCACAAAAATCGTCTGCATAGGTAGATGCCTTTGTTCCATGTATGTCGCTGCTGTAAAACAATTGTGCTTGCATGAAATTACAACGTATGGAGTCAGACGTAACACCTTAGTCCTCAAGAATAGCAATTCGTGAGGAGTACCATGAGTATTTTGAAATATATTTTGCATTGAAATATTTTAGTTTATACATTTTTAATTCTTAAAACTTTGAAGGGGCGTGCCATGTTATTATAGACAATCTATACTCGTACATATACTGTCCAAAGAGGGAAGAAAGGGATTGCTTACCTATGAGTTTGACGTTTATTGTTTGAGCCGCAGGCGAGGGCTTCGACTTACATGCATTGAGAATAATTTCTCACGAGTGATACATAATCTTTTATATATATATTACATCTACGAGGAAATTATAATAAAAGTCTATTTTATTGTTATCATTAAAGTTTTCGCAAATGTCGAAAGTTCTATTCCTATTTTTATATTTTAACGAGCAAAAAAGAATTCGCATGTTGAACATTTTCTCTTGTTCCATCGATACTTTTTAAATATTATTCATATCTTCAATAAGCATTTTAATTTAATTTTAATACTATTTTACTGACAATATTAACCGCGTACTATTGGGGGGAAAGGGATTATTAGTAATGAAGACTGAGAATCCCATTGCTAGCAATATGCCCAATTAGGTCGACCTCCTCGTGGTTCTCCCTGGAAACTATCATGGTTAATTCCTGATGAATTCATCATGATAGGGTAACTGACCTGTTTTCATTCTCATCTATCACCCTTCACTGGTGCTCCGCCAGTATATCCCGTTAGCGCAGGCGGGGTTACCATACCATTTTCACCCATAAAAAAAAACCGCGTACTATTATAATTAAATTAATTTATTATTTTAATTGGTAATCAATTTTTTTTCATTTCCGTGCATCAAATTTTCATTTGGATGTATAATATAGTTAATAATATATTTTAATGGAATTTATAATACCTACCTTTGTTTTAAACATGTAATATTTTTTCTATATTGGGGATGAAAGTCTAGCTATCCATTGATAACAGTTCCTTGTTACCTTCATATTTATCTCGTAATAAAAACATTTGTCAATTAATGAGTGATTAAATAATGAATAATTAAATTATTTGTCTTCAGTGATTTTTTTGTCAGTAATGATGTTTAAAAATTGTCAATTCTCACAACAATTCATAAATATTCTACTACAGAGCACGAATAATCTCCCTGTAAAGGCCTCCTTTTGTATTATTATTTTATGTTATTATATATATATATATATATATATATATATATATATATATATATATATATATATATATATATATATATATATATATTGTTCTTTGTTACCTTAGTTGCCTCATCATGAGGATGAAAAGGTCTGTAACACCTTAAAATTACTCTCACTCTGTCACCACACGGAAGTATACCGGTTTTCCATTTAATAATTTCCCAGTTATTACTGGCTTCACACAAATTTATAACAAGTTAACATGAAAGTAAGTTTGTAACGTAATCAACACATGACGGAGCCTTTTAGCATATAAATTTAGTTACACTGTTCACTAGCAACGCAAAATGGTGTTTAACCTTTTCAATCTTCTGATTTTAAATTATTATATTTAATTTTATGTAGATATATTTATATACACACATGCACAGGCACACTCATATACAGAGAGAAAGAGAAAGAAACACACACGCACGCACACCACACGCATACACACAGGTACACAGATACACAAATACACACTCACATGGATATTTAAATAAATTTTTTATGGTTAGTAATTTTGATTAAGTAATCCACATATCGAGTTGAATATATATATATATATATATATATATATATATATATATATATATATATATATATATATATATATATAACTATTTTGTGGAGGTCTATATCGCTTATTTACTTAGAATTATTTTGTTTAATTCCGCTATCATTAGTATGTGTGCGACTGCCAACACTTGAAGACTGACTACTGTTATTATTACCAGTTCTACAACCTTCCATATTAACCATCAGTACCCGACTTCCATTTCGTTCACGCACGTTTTGTGACACGTGTTCATATCTAAACGAGGCATCTTCAGGCAAATTATTACATCGCTGCTCGGAGCATAGTGTTAACCGTTTTGCATAGTTAAATG